TCTTCACAGTCTGATCACTGACATGGAGGTGAGGGTGCCTCTTCCGTGGGCCCCCCAAAAACTAGGCCAAGTAAGCATGGGAACTGGTGCATTTTTAATATAAACATTACTATACATTTCTCTCCAAAGATTGCCTTAGCTCCCTTGACTAAGTTTAGGTATGCTGTGTCTTCATTTTCATCCATCTCAGTACATTTTCTAATTTTTTCTTTGACTTATTGTTGATTTGAGAGTGCCACTTAATTTTTACACATCTGTGAAGTTTGCAGTTTCCTTAATTGTTTCTAATTTCATTTCATTTTGGTTGGAGGACAGTGAATTAAATTGTCCCTCTGAAATTTATTGAGGTTTGTTTTATGTCCCTGAATAGAATTTATCATTGGAGAATGTTTCACGTGCACTTGAAAAGAATGTATATTCTGTTACTGTTGGGAAGAGTGTTCTACAAATACCTGTTTGGCATAGTTTGTTTTTAATCTTTGTTGGTCTGCTTGGTTGTTCTAACCATGAAGACTTCTACTGAAGTCTGCTTCCTTTGCTGTCTGGGTTCTCTGTGGTTGAGGTGAGTGTAGGGCCTCTCCATTCAGCTATCTCAGGTGGAATCCTATCTTCCTTTATTTTCATTATTTTTTCTTTTCTTTAGATTTCTCTACCGATCTAGAATCTGGAAGTTCACTGTGTTTTCCTTAAGCCAGTTCAAATATGTTGAGCTCCTCTAGTGAACTTTTGTTTTGTTCTTTATCATTTCTCTCGCTACTGGCATTCATTATTTGATGTGAGATTCTCATCATACCGCCCTTTTATTTCTTTAATCATGCTTTCCTTTGGTTCCTTGAACATACTCACAATGGCCACTTCAAAATCTTTGTTTAATCTGAAACCTGATTGCTCTTACAGGCAATTTCCGTAGCTGCTTGTCTTGTACAGGTTACACATTCAGGTCTCATACTCTTCTTGTTGAAAACTGTAGAAACAGGTTATCCTCCTCCCTTCCAGTCCCAGGGCCCACAGTATGCAGCTGCTCGTTTGGTGAGTTGTTCAGGCTTCAGTGACACCAACCCCTGCTGCCCCTTCTTCCCCTCTGCTCAGCTGGGAGTTCCAGGAGTGCCATTCATGCAGTACAGATCTGTGAGTGCCCATAATAACCTTGGAATGGCGTGATTTTGGCGGAGTTGTCTTTGTTAAGTGTTCACATCCTGCTGTTAAGCTCCACTGATTCCAGCTCACTGTTCTATTTTTTCAATAAGAACCTGGGCCGTAACTTTCTCCATGGGCGGATCCAATCGAATTTGGATCTTTCAAAGGAATAGCTGTGGATGTCAGCGTCTGATACTTGTTCTCATCCCAAGAGGGGAACTCTCTGCTCTTTATCTCCTTGGCTCTTTGCTAATTTAGCCAGGTTACAATGTGGCTTGTATCAGTGATAAAAGATCAGTCTTCTTCTAATTACTTTTTGCTACAACCTCCATTGTTTGTGAGAGAATTCAGGCTTTGATGTGTCCATACTGTTGCACTGTTGCAAATGAAACAGTTCCTTCGGAATGTACCTTTTTGTTTTGTTTTAATTATTTGCCTTTTCTATCAGGAAAGTCTCTAAGCCATAGTTCCAGATCCGGGAGATGGGGCCGCAGTGTGCTTCCGAGCGGCGCTGCTGCTCTGGGAGATGAGCAGCTGAGGGGGAGAGCAGCCTCGGGTCGTTCAGCTCACTCTCCCAGCACAGAGCCCCCACCTTATGACTAGGCAAGCATGAGTGGGGTCCAGCTCTGCTCAGTCGCACCAGTCCCAAGATAAAGCCTCCAGCCAGTGGGTGGCATTGGCCAGAATGGAGTCGCCACCTCTTGACACATAGCTGGACTCGAGTGTTAACAACAGGTGGTGGGGAACAGGAAAAGAAATGCTGAATTCCCGCCCCTCCTGGGAAACAGTCCCTCCAACTGGGAGTCCAAAGGAGAGCCCAGTGTTCTTGTTTGTATCAGGCTGAGCAGAGAGTTCACCTTACTGAAGGGAGAGGAAATGGATCTTGGTTCAAATACTATGTTGTTGTTATTTTTCCTAGTTTTTCAATAAATGTATTTTCATTTTCTATATGCTCTTAAGACCATGTAAATTTTTTTTAAAATAATTATTTTATTTATTTGAAAGACAGAGTTACAGAGAGAGGTAGAGCCGAGACAGAAAGGTCTTCCATTCTGCTGGTTCACTCCCCAAATGACCGCAATGGCCAGAGCTGAGCCGATCCAAAGCCAGGAGCCAGGAGCTTCCTCCAGTTCTCCCACTCGGGTGCAGGTACCCAAGCACTTGGGCCATCTTCCACTGCTTTTCCAGGCCATAGCAGAGAGCTGGATCAGAAGAGGAGCAGCTGGGACCCGAATTGGCATCCACATAGGATGCCGGTGCTGCAGGCTGGGGCTTTAACTTGCAGCGCCACAGCACTGGCCCCAATGTTTTTCTTACAAAAATAAATTTATCGGGGCTGGCCCTGTGGTATAACAGATAAAGCCACCACCTGCAGTGCTGGCATCCCATATAGGCGCTGGTTCAAGTCCCAGCTGCTCCACTTCCAATACAGCTCTCTGCTATGGCCTGGGAAGGCAGTACGAGATGGCCCAAGTCCTCGGGTCTCCACCCACGTGGGAGACCTGGAGGAAACTCTTGGCTCCTGACTTTAGAGTGGCTCAGCTCTGGCAGTTGCAGTCATCTGGGGAGTGAACCAGCAGATGGAAGACCTCTCTCTCTCTCTCTGTCTCTCTCTGCTTCTGCCTCTCTATAACTCTGCTTTCAAATAAATAAATAAATCCTTAAAAATAAATTAATCAGTTTTTTTGGGGAGTACTTGCAGAGTTCCTCACACTGTATTGCTAGACAGGCTTGGAACCCACAACATGCTTGTAACAGTGAAACTTGGCCGGTGCCGCGGCTCACCAAATCTTCTGCCTGCAGTGCTGGTATTCTGGGTTCTAGTCCTGGTTGGGGCACCGGTTCTGTCTTGATTGCTCCTCTTCCAGTCCAGCTCTCTGCTCTGGCCCGGGAAGGCAGTGGAGGATGGCCCAAGTGCTTGGACCCTGCACCCGCATGGGAGACCAGGAGGAAGCACCTGGCTCCTGGCTTTGGATTGGCACAGCACACTGGCCGTAGTGGCCATTTTGGGGGGTGAACCAACGGAAGGAAGACCTTTCTGTCTGTCTCTCTCACTGTCTAACTCTGCCTGTTCAAAAAAAAGTGAATCTTTCATACTGTGTGCACTTGAAAACATCTTAAATGCATTAAGAACAAGTGACGAGTACTCAAACAGTACTTTACACTTTGTGTTTCTGTGTGGGTGCAAACTGTTGAAATCTTTACTTAGTATATACTAAATTGATCTTCTGTATATAAAGATAATTGAAAATGAATCTTGATGTGAATGGGATGGGAGAGGGTGCGGGAGATGGGATGGTTGCAGGTAGGAGGGAGGTTATGGGGGAAAAAGCCAGTATAATCCAAAAGCTGTACTTTGGAAATTTATATTTATTAAATAAAAGTTAAAAACAAAACAGTGAATCTCTCATATTGTGTGCACTTGATAACATCTTAAATGCATTAAGAACAAGTGACGAGTACTCAAACAGTACTTTACACTTTGTGTTTCTGTGTGGGTGCAAACTGTTGAAATCTTTACTTAGTATGTACTAAATTGATCTTTGTGTATATAAAGATAATTGAAAATGAATCTTGATGTGAATGGATGGGAGAGGGTGCGGGAGATGGGATGGTTGCAGGTAGGAGGGAGGTTATGGGGGGAAAAAGCCAGTATAATCCAAAAGCTGTACTTTGGAAATTTATATTTATTAAATAAAAGTTAAAAACAAAACAGTGAATCTCTCATATTGTGTGCACTTGATAACATCTTAAATGCATTAAGAACAAGTGACGAGTACTCAAACAGTACTTTACACTTTGTGTTTCTGTGTGGGTGCAAACTGTTGAAATCTTTACTTAGTATGTACTAAATTGATCTTTCTGTATATAAAGATAATTGAAAATGAATCTTGATGTGAATGGATGGGAGAGGGTGCGGGAGATGGGATTGTTGCAGGTAGGAGGGAGGTTATGGGGGGAAAAAGCCAGTATAATCCAAAAGCTGTACTTTGGAAATTTATATTTATTAAATAAAAGTTAAAAACAAAACAGTGAATCTCTCATATTGTGTGCACTTGATAACATCTTAAATGCATTAAGAACAAGTGACGAGTACTCAAACAGTACTTTACACTTTGTGTTTCTGTGTGGGTGCAAACTGTTGAAATCTTTACTTAGTATATACTAAATTGATCTTTCTGTATATAAAGATAATTGAAAATGAATCTTGATGTGAATGGATGGGAGAGGGTGCGGGAGATGGGATGGCTGCGGGTGGGAGGAAGGTAATCCAAAAGCTGTACTTCGGAAATTTATATTTATTAAATAAAAGTTAAAAAAAACAAACAGTGACTCTCTCATATTGTGTGCACTTGATAACACCTTCAATGCATTAAGAACAGGTACTAAATCGTTATGAAGTCATTCCCTGCTTGGAGTCTCTGAATTGTCACAGGTCTGGCTTGCTTCAAATAAAGTACAAATGTCAGCAAGAGAAATACTTTACCACTTAACAAATTAATTTCTCTTCTAGGAGTCAAATAAATCTAAAGTGATCCTTCATAGACTTGAATGGGGCACAGGAATATAACCCATTCATCAAAAGCAAATACATTCAGCTGTCTTACAGGTCAGTTATAGCACAATGGCAACCTAACATTTTTAACTGGCTCCTATTCAGGTATCAAAAGTGAATGAACCAGGTACTCTCAGGTTGGACTGTCTTGCCCAAAAGCCATGCTTACAAATGCCTTGAAACTGCAAGGATATATTTACCTAAGGAGCTAGAATATATATCATCTATCATTTAGTTCAAATATTTATAACTAATTTCCACTCTTTAAGGTTAACATGAAAATGCTGAAAAACATTTGTAACCTTACCATATGAGGGTCATATCCCATAGAAAACAAGTATGGCTTTTCTTGTAGAATTGCTTCTTTCCACTTTTCTTCAGACACCAAACCAATGTACCAATCACTTTCATATTCTTCAAGGTAGTTAATCAACTCTTTAAAGTCTTGTATTGGACCTAAACTTGCTTTATCGATCATTAGTTTCAAAGTGTATCTAAAAAATAGAGAACCAAAGAATTTTCAAACACTTTATTACCTTTATATAGGAAATAAATTTTGTTCAATCAATATTCTAAAGCATGAATTGAAATTGTATGTATTTCAGATGAAAAGTTACAGTTAGAAGGAGCAAATCCATTAAATCATATGAAAATTAAGTTCTCAACATAAATAAAATCACAGAAAATTCAGATTAAAGTGTGCTTCGGATAAAATAATAATACATAGCAATCTTTTTTTCATCTTTAAGAAAGTAATTTTTTAAAAAAATTAGAAATGAAGGATTGTCTTCTACATAATTTAAAAAAAAAAACATTTTCTTGTTAATACTACAACTCATACATTAAAAATGTGTTACCTGAATGCTTTCAGTACTAACTGGTACAGTTCCGGTTTTTCTGTGAGCCAATTCAAGGCAACAGACCAGGGCAGAACACCACTGTAAACTCTCAGTAAGTGTCCAGGACTGGGAGCCACAGTGTCAATTTCAAATAAACTACAGTAACAAGTCATTACTGTCTGAACATAAAGGTCTTTTAAAACTCTGTCCTTTGCGATTTCTTCCAGTATATCTGAGGCCTTCTCTTCTGAACGGAAACATCCTAACTGCCTTACAACAAACTGGTACCAGTCTTCCGGAAACAAGGAGCGCATCTCCTTCATTCTGGAATTGGGCACATAGTGAGACCGCCACTCCTCAGGCAAGCTCAGCAGGTGAGAATGTGCGCAACTGAACTCCGCCAGGGGGGTACACGCCACCTCTTCTTGTTTTCCTTTGTCAGTGGCAGGATAGGCAAAGGTAACTGCTCTGAAAAGACTGTCTTCAGGAACTGTGCCAGTGGAATGATCACTAACCCTCTGTGATTCTACGGATCCTGGAATGGGCAAATTTCCACCTGGCCAATCGTTCAACTGATCCTTTTCCATTTTTCCTTTTGCAACACTTGGCTCATCATCAAAAATATCATCATTAGACCAGTCAGAAGTTTCTGAGTGTGAACTCTCTGTGTCTTCTGGGCATCTGGGACGTGGGGAAGCGTTCCAGGCCGGCAGGAGTCTCAGAGGTCCTGTCCCCTGTTCAGGTTTGCGAACACTGCCCTGCATGCTGGGTCTTTTGGAGCAGTACCGAACAAGTATCCACACAAGCACTTTAACAAGGTCACCTTGGAAGTCTTTCAAGTTTTCATGGGAATCGATTATGCCAGACAGGATGTTCCTGGCATCAGAATACAGTTTTACAGGCAAAACTGTGCACGGCGTCAGGACGTTTGCAAAGTGTGCATTAAGGGAGCATACTTTTCTGCAGCCTTTCTCAAAAGCATCTTCGAATACTTCGTCAACCCTCTGAGCTTCGGCAGTATGGCAGGATGTTTCTTGCAATTCTAACCCCTAAAGAGGAAATAAAAAATACTTGAGTTTATGATTACATTTACAGCAAACAGTAAATGCCCACAGAATTCTCATCATAAGGACTATGAACAAAAACAATCTCTTTAAGAACTACAACTTATCTTAAACTTAAGGGAGCCTAGCATGTTGGATGTTGGATACTGAGATTGAAAACACTAAGGATATGATTGAAAGAGAAATTATAGAGAATTTCAAAGAAATCAGGCAAACATTTATGGCATATGAACATAATTTTAAAAGACTCTATCTATAGTATGGCTGAATCACACATCAAAATTCTGTTTTTGGGGAAAAAAAAACAAAATTCGAATAACACAGCTCTTTCCTCTACATGTGATAGGAGATTAACAGCATTATTTTAGCATATGAATAAGCCATCATTTATCAAACCTTTTAAAGGTAGTTTTATTTACTGTCTGGATCCTCCAATTATAATATGAACTCCATAAAGCAGCTCTCTTGGTTGCTAGTATATTTCCAGTCCCTAAACCACTCTATGGTATACAGTACATGATACACAGTATGAGCAAATGTATGTTAAGTGAATCGATGTTATGAATATGTTCCTTTATGGATTGCAAACACATTTTGATTATTTTCTTAGACGAAATCACTTGAGAGGATGTACTAGGTCATTGTTTACTATTACTATTATTGTTTATATATTTTTAATGAAACTGCTAGTGCCTTCAGAGCCCATTTTTAAGTAAGGGTTCCATGAGGTGCTGGCATACAACTCCAGTAGGTCACCTACACCTCTTCCCCCTATTTCAAAGAAAAATAGTCCTAGCACACAGGGTTATAAAAATTAAATTTTGTAAACTTTAAAATGTTACATAAATACTAGTAGATGACACAGCCTTTCTTATGGAAAAAGTGTACACTTTTAAACCCCATGTCATAGAGCACAAGAGACTAATGAAAGGACCCACACTATTAGGTATTCTTAATTCACATAATTTAAAAAATAGAATAAAACGAAGCAATCAAAACGTCCCTGAAACACGGCCTGCCTTTTTGCCTTCTCACGCGGGTTGAGTCAGGACAGGGTTCCGCAGCGCTCAGTGAGTCAGAGTCCGCTGGTGCACTGTTACCGACACAGGCCGCTGGGCCCACCGCCAGGGTTTCTGACCTGGTACATCCAGAGTGGGGCTCCAGAATTTAATCCTAACAAGCTCCCAGGAGATGTTACTGCTACTAGTTTGGGGGCTGCATTTTGAGAATCACTGGACCAAAGCGACATCTTTTAAGTATCCAGCAATTTCATCCAGTCTGTGTGAAAACAAACAAATCATTCATCACCAAAGATTTGTTAATGGCTTATCCTGTGCCAGGCATTGTTCCAGGGGCTTAGGACATACAGCTGAACAAAAGCTAGAGATTTCTCCCCTTGTGACATTTACATTAGGGGCACAGGCAATCAACAATAAAACCAGTAAGTAAATTATGTGGTTTTTAGAGAGTATAAGAACTATAAAGATAAGGAAAAAGTAAGGCAAAAGATCAGATTGCCGAGATGAGAGTGTAACCTTAAAAAGATGGTCACATGAGGCCTCCCTGAGAAGGCAGTGAGGGAGCAGGCTATATGGTTATCTACAAGAATGTTCCAGAGGGAATGGCCAGCGGGCTGGAACTGAGTGAGACAGCTTAACAGATGAGGCCAAAGAGGGGCTGCAGAGCTCACTTAGGACCTTGGCTTTTATTCTGAATCAGAGACCCCCAGCAGGGTTTTGAGTAGACAAGTGACATAATTTGTCTCAGATTTTTGAAGATCATTCTGCTGACAACAGACTGTCCAGGGCACAGGCAGCAGTAGGGAGACCAATTAGGATACTGTGCAATTATCAAGGGTACGGTGGTTACACCGGGCTGTGAGAAGTGACGGGATATGGGATATGGTTTAAAGTGGAGTGACAGGATTTCTCATTGGATTGGATTGAGGTATAGAAGTGAAAAATGAGTCCAATATGACTCCAGTATTTTTGTCCTAGGCATTCAGAACAGAGTTGTCAACAAAGAACTGCAAGGCTCTGGGACACTGAGATTAAGAGATCAAGGAGGCCAGTGCCATGGCTCACTTGGCTAATCCTCCGCCTGCGGCACCGGCACCCCAGGTTCTAGTCCTGGTCGGGGCGCCGGATTCTGTCCCGGTTGCCCCTCTTCCAGTCCAGCTCTCTGCTGTGGCCCGGGAAGGCAGTGGAGGATGGCCCAACTGCTTGGGCCCTGCACCCCATGGGAGACCAGGAGGAAGCACCTGGCTCCTGGCTTTGGATAGGTGCAGCGTGCCGGGTGTGGAGGCCATTTTGGGGGTGAACCAACAGAAAAAGGAAGACCTTTCTCCTTTCTCTCTGTCTCTCTCACTGTCTAACTTTGCCAGTCAAAAAAAAAAAAAGAGAGAGAGAGATCGAGGAAAAGAAAAGGAGCCGTCAAAGGGCACTGACAAGGAACAACCTGAGGAACCAAGAATCACCTGTGTCACATGTTGCTGACAGGTCAAGGAAGATCAAACCTGAGTTGACCATTGGATTCAGCAATGTAACAGCCACTGAAAACCTTGCCAAAGGTAACCCGGTAGAGTAACAAGTCAACAACCAAGAGTATGTTGAAGCTAGAATGAGAGGCGAGAAACTGGAGATACGACAGTGAGCAACCTTAATTGGTCGTTTTGCTCTTGAAGGAAGGAGAGAAACAGACTGTAGCAGGTAGGTGCAGTGGGATCAGAAGACGTTTCCATTAAGTTGACCCCTTAACATGATACAGATGTTAAAAATGACTGGTCCTCATTTCTGAGATGTTCAACTAGCAAGGACTAGAGGAGAAGGAGCAGGTATATTTTGTTACTATGATCTATTTATCAACACTAGTCTACCTATCAATATGTCGTTACATAAATATACTTTAAAAATCACTAGTTGTTTTAATCAGTAATTAAAAAGATATTCTTTCAAACTGAGCTTGTAAATGTTTGATGGGTTTATAAAAGAGAAAATTTTATGTATGTACTATAAAAATACTAACAAGGTTTCTAATGGACATTAACCTTAATGTTAATGCAGCAGTAAGTATAGCCACATTCTAGAATCATTATCCATATTAAGCGATCCTGAAAACGGCCCAAGTAATGAGATCCAGGTATGAGGATACCTAAAACAAATTAGAAGGGAAAAAAAAATCATTTTCCAAGCTTTTTTATTTTGCCACGTCACTCATCAAAACATAGCATTATATAATGAAAATTAATTGGAACTGGGTAAGTTTTTAAAGTATAGAATATTTCTTATTAAAAAGTGAAGTTATTCATAAAAATTATTACAAAAATTTCCCCTAAGTTATCTTATATAACAGATAATTACAGAAGTTAACCTAAGTAAGCATTTCACTAAAATTTTTATCTTTAATTACAACTTTGCCTAGAATCAGTTTTTCAGGAAGTCATCTGCCATTTCTTTTTTTAAGATTTATTTATATGAAGGTTAGTGTCACCGAGAGACAGACTGATCTTCTATCCTGTAGTTCACTCCCTGAACAGCTGCAACAGCCAGGGCTGTGCCAGGCTGAAGCCAGTCCACCTTCTGGGTCTCCCATGTGGGTGGCAGAGGCCTAAGCACTTGGGCCATTCTCAGCTGCCTTTCCAGACCATTAGCAGAGAGCTAGATCAGAAGTGGAGCAGCCAGGACACAAACTGGCACCCATACAGGATGCCCGCACTGCAGACAGTGGCTTTACCTGCTATGCCACAACCCTGGCCCCCATCATTTCTAAAAACAAGTGTTGGAGGCAAAAGCTTATGGTAGCAGATGACATACTATTGTCATCAGCTTGGCCCTTTTCTATAACCAACCTTGAGAAGTATGAGAAGTATGTTGCAACTGGATTTATCATCTTCAAATTTGCCCATGCTGATAAAAATACCTTTTTTCTTTTAATATATGCATAGTACTTCACACAGTGAAGGAGGCTACTCTACCAATCACTGATCAAAGATTTTATGTTGCCTTGTGCAGTTGCCTTGCCAGACTGCTTAAGTCTCTCTACAATAACTAGTAAGGTATGAACAAACTCCCTTGAGCTCTTCAAGTTGACATGTTGTAAAGCTGGTTTGACTCCTTGTGGATCTCAGCCATTACATACTTGACATGAAATCATTAGGAATTCATGGAAGTCTTGAGGGTAAAGGTGTTTTCATGTTTCAGTGGTAGAACTATAATTTTATTCAACAAAATTTTTTTAAAAATTGTAAAATCACCTTAATGAAACTTTCCTTGAAGATTTTTACTTTATCTCAAAACAAGAAGCAGGAGGTATATTTCTGTTTCATATGTGGTCTCTCTGCATGTGCATCTGAGTATTAGGATCTGTTCAGTGTTGGACTGAATGACAGTCGTTCAGTGCGTTCTCGTTTTTGGTACTTGGAATAGTTGTGAGGATTGCTTAGCACAACTCATCGGCTTACCTAAACGTCCCGCGGCCATTGCTGTCTGCAGCGCAGCAGTCAACCTGGGGGCCAGCTGGTGGTAGTAAACCGTATCCGCACACACGCAGGCTGTGTTGCCTACTGCTCCTGGCCAGCTCTGCAGAGGCCGGGGAAACCCCACCAGGAACACAGGAAGTGTGAAGAGGGGGAGTAAGGGAGAAGAGAGTAGTGTAGAAAACACTATGAGAACCAGCACGAATGGCGAGAAGACAACGTTGAGTATACACAAAGCAGTAGTTGTTTTCCGACGCTGCTTTTTTTCCGTCCATGATGTCACGAGCACAGTCACAGCAAACTGCAATTTGGAGATGAACTGGGTCAGGCGGTCACGCATGATACCCACCTGCAGGTATGGAAAAAGGACTGCAATATTCCTAAAGGACTTTGCATGAACTTTCAAGATCACATAAGGAAAACTATGTAACGCTGATTTTATAATTGCCCAATATTTTTGAGGAATTAGCCCCATGTGTGACTCTTTGTTGTAATTTTCTCTCACCTCACATTTATCAAAAAGAGACTGCATTTTTAACTTTGAACTTCATTTTTAAAAAAATAACACTAAGAGAGCCAACAGAATAGTATCTATCCATTAAGGCTGAACAACTGTATGCATGTGCCAGCAAATTAGGCAACACAGATGAAGCTGTTCAGATCCTGGAAAGATGCAAATTACTGGAAATGGCTCAATGACCCAAAAAAAAAAAAAAAATCAAACTAGATAGATAGAAAGTGAAAAGATCAAATCAGTAATTTAAAAAACTGTTGACAGGGAAAATCTGAGGCTCAGAGGGCTTTAATACTACAAATGCAACATTTCACAAAACAATTAAGATACATACAGAATACTAGAAAACATTTAAGACTACTCAATACCAATCTTTACCAACTCTTTCAGAAACCAGAACAGTATGGAACACTTCTTTTTTTTTTTTACAGCACATTAAAGACAGAGATCCTACATGAGGAAGGAGTAAGTGCACAGTGACTCCTGTTGTTGACTTTACAAATTGACACTCCTGTTTATGGCATCAGTAATCTCCCTATGCTCCAGTCATGAGTTTCCAAGGCTATGGAAGCCTTTTGAGTTCTCTGACTCTTATCTTATTTAGACAAGGTCATAGTCAAAGTGGAAGTTCTCTCCTCCCTTCAGAGAAAGGTACCTCCTTCTTTGAAGACCTGTTCTTTCCACTGGGATCTCACTCATAGAGATCTTTCATTTAGGTTTTTTTTTTTTTTTTTTTTTCCCAGAGTGTCTTGGCTTTCCATGCCTGAAATACTCTCATGGGCTTTTCAGCCGGATCCGATTGCCTTTAGGGCTGATTCTGAGGCCAGAGTGCTGTTTAGGACATCTGCCATTCTATGAGTCTGCTGTGTATCTCGCTTCCCATGTTGGATCGCTCTCCCCTTTATTTATTCTATCGGTTAGTATTAGCAGGCACTAGACTTGTTTATGTGATCCCTTTGACTCTTAGTATGGAACACTTCTTAAACTCACTTTTTATGAGATCAGTACCACCCTGACACCTAAACCAGACAATGCTCTCACAGGGAAAGAAACTACCTGTACACACATGTGATGTGCACACCTTACGAAAACAGATGACAAAGGCTCTGCCGACCAGATTCTTTAACATATAAAAAAGATTATACATAATGACCTACAGGCATTTATTCCAGGAATGCAAGGTTGGTTTAACAACCAAAAATCAATGAACAAATTACGCCATCTTAATAGACTAAAGGATCAAAACTAAATGATTATTCCAAAGACACAGAAAAAGCATGTGATGAAATTCAACACGCCTAATGAGAAAGCCACTTACCTAGTAGTAAGAGGAAACCTACTCAACTTGCTAAAGAGCACTTATGAAACATCCTTAGCTGACATCATATTTAATAATGGTGAAAGACTGATATCATATTTAATGGAAAAGGCTAACTGCCTTCCTCATAAAATGTCCACTCTTACCCCATCTATTGAACATTCTACTGGAGTTCCAGCCATTACAGTTAGGCAAGAAAATCCAGATTGGAAAGGGAAAAGTAAAGCTACCTGTATTTGCAGATAACATGATCTTACAGAACATTCTAAGAACCCACTAAAAATCAATTAGTTCTAAAACAAGATAGATTAATATAAAAAAGGTTCTATTCTACACTATACAATAAACAAGCCAAAACATGAAATTAAGAAGACAATTTAAATCACCAAAATGAATAAACAGTCAGGAATACATTTAGTAAGAAGTGTACACTGAGGCTACCAAACACTCCTGAAGTAAAGATCAAATAAAGGGAAACAGAGTCATGTCTATGGATCATAAGAATTAATTTGAGTGTTAAAGACTGAATATTAGTTAGAATTAATATTTTAAAATGGCAATAATCCCCAATTGATCTACAGAGCTGAGGTGTCTCCTATAAAAGCACTAGAGGCTTTCTTATATAGACTGACAGTAGAATAAATATTTAAACAGCAATGCAAGGCTCCCAGAATAGCTGAAACAATTCTGAGAAGGACAAAACTGGAGCACTCAAGCTACCTAACTTCAAAACCTCCCACAAAGTTACTGGAACCAAGACAGTGCGGTACTGGCGAAAGGATGAACATAGAGAAGAATGAAAAAGAACTTAGATTAACCCAGAAATAAATCCTAACGTGTATGGTCACTTGAGTTTTTTATAAAAGTGTCATGGAAAGTCATTGGGAGCAGAACACTCTTTTCAGTAAAGATGCCAGGACAATTGTATATCTGTATGCAAAGAATAAACTTGGAATCCTACCTCACTCCATATAGAAAAATGAACTCAAAGTAGAGCATAGATGCTTATGTAAGAGCTAAAATTATAAAACTCTTAGTAGTGAACATTCATGACCTTTTAGTAAGCTGTGTTTGTTAGAAACGACACAAAAACACAAGCATGATCTTACAGAACATTCTAAGAACCCACTAAAAATCAATTAGTTCTAAAACAAGATCCCATATGGGCACTGGTTCAAGTCCCAGCTGCTCCAATTCTGATCCAGTTCCCTGCTAATGCTCCTGCAAAAGCAGTGGAGGATGGCCCAAGTGCTTGGGACCCTGTACCCATGTGGGAGACCCAGAAGAAGCTCCTGGCTCCTGGCTTTGGATCGGCTCAACTTCAGCCATGGTGGCAATTTGGGGAGTGAACCAAGCAGATGGAAGATCTCTCTCTCTCTGTCTCTTTGTACTTGTCTTTCAAATAAATAAATCTTAAAAAAATAAAACCAGATAAATTATTCATTAAATTAAAAATTTTGTACTTTAAAAGACACTGTGAAGAATGTGAAACATATAGCACAGATTAGTCTAAGGACTTGTTTCCACAATAAAAACTCTCACAACTCACCAATAAAAAGACAACTAACTCAAATAAAAATGGACAAAGAATTTGAACAGACACATTCACTAGTATGACTATAATGCAAAAATAAAATAACAAGTACTCGTGAGGATACAAAAGAATTGGGATCCTCATATATCTTGATAAGAATGTAAAAGGTGAAATTTACTTTTTTTTCTTTTTTTCTGAAATGAGAAAAATGTATTTCGAAGCTCATAAAAACCACTAAGACTCTCTCCCTGGATCTGAACAGGACCTTTCGTAAAACATTAGTATAACATTAATATACAATTATAATCATGGTACTGTGAATTCTCAACTATGTAGATACAGATTATTCATTTTTAGATTACTCTCAGTGAAATTTTAATCCAAGTTGGCTTCCACCTGCTACCCAGAGTAGTGGAAGCCACTTTGGAAAATACTTTTGCAGTACCTTGAAGCATTAAACATGGAGTTATTATATAATCAGAGTCCTAAGAATACATGCCTAAGAGAAATGAAAACATATGCACATATAAATTATGTACACATATGTTCACAATATTCACTTTAATAGTCAAAAATAGAAACAATCTAAATATCCACCGTCTGATGAATTAATGAATCAAATGTGATGTATCTACATAAGGAAACATTGGCACTAAGACAGAAGTAATGATATATGCTATAACATGAATGAACCTTGCCAACAAAAGTGAAAGAGGCCAGATGAAAAAAAAACCATATATCATGTAAATCCATTCATTTGAAATGTCAAAGGATAGGCAAGTCCAGAGATAGAAGGTATAGCAGTGGTTGCTGAAATTGGAATGAGTGGGGATGGTATACAGAGTTGGACTGAGGAATGCCTATTTTTTGTGCTTTATTGCAATTCACAAATTTGTGCTATTTACAAATTGAAGGTTTGTGACAATCTTGCAAAGAGCAAGTCTACTGATACTATTTTCCCAATAGCTCAGATAATCATTAGTATCTTTTTTGCAATATAGTACTTTTAAATTAAGGTTTATACTTTTGTTAAAGATATGCTATTATGGGGGTTTGCACTGTAGCACAGCAGGTTAAAGCTGGCATCTCATATGGACACCATTCGAGCCAGCTGCTTCACTTCCTATCTAGCTCTCTGCTAATGCACCTGGGAAAGCAGCGGAAGATGGCCCGAATCCTTGGGCCCTTGCATCCCTGTGGAAAAAAGCTCCCTAGTTTTAGATCAGCTCAGCTTCGGGCACTGAGGACATTTGGAGGGTGAACCAGTGGAAGGAAGCACTCTCCCTCTCGCTCTTTCTCTCTGTAACTCTTTCAAATAAATAAAATAAATCTTGAAAAAAAAAAAAAAGATATGCTACTGCACATATAAGATACCACCATATAATATATATGTAACTTTTTTGTGCACTGAGAAACCAAATAATTTTATGATTCACTTTATCATAGTGCTCTGGACTGAACCTGGAATACCCTTGGGATATGCCTGTATACAGTTTCTTTCTGGAACATGGAAAATGTTCTCAAATGTGTAGGTGGCTACAAAACTCTGAATATACACCACTAAGTGACATACTTTAAATGAATAAATGTTATGGTCTGTAAAATACATCTTAATAGAGCTGTTAAAATGTATTTACCAATAAGAGTCTGATTCCAGTATTGAGGCTTGTGTTCCACCATAAATCTGCATTGGGGCTCAGCAGGTGCACACCGGATACAATGGCTGTCTCAAGCAAAGCACTCTCGGTATTCTGCCACACCTGCAGGATACAAATCATCCACTTCTATTAGATAGAATTTCATCATCTAAGCCAATTCTCAGAATGAAACAAAATCGTAATGAAATTTAGTAACAGGAAAATATAATTAGGTATATGTCAGTGTTACCATCCTAAAAGCTCTTGTGAATCCAATGGAGACAGATATGGAGTGGAGCCCTTGTAATGAACTGTCCAGTGAGAGAAATGCCATCATAGCAAAAGGTGACACTAAAAACAAAACAAAAAAAGATAAATTAAGGCAATGTAATTCCTTCTACCATATTCTCTTTTGGCAAATATGAGGTTCTTCTATGAGCACATTTAAGCAGTTAACAGGAGAAACTAATATCTGAAAAATCAAAACAAACACTTGTATGCAGTAAAATATTACACAATCTTGGGGATTCTAATGTATTTCTCAACACTTCCCAGATATGGTTTTTCATATCAAGGGCAGCAGGTCGGATCTTCTTACCTAGGGTTAGCAAAATCCGTCTGACAACACCAATTCTTGTGAGCCTCGTGTGCTTCTCTAAGAACGCAGTCGCGGCTTGCACATCCTTTGGATAGAAAGGGTTTCGGAAAATTCCGAAGATATAGACACCTTGAATTTCTCTAAGTATCCACAGTATCATAAGTAAGATCATCAAGATATAGCCAACCATAGTCTGGGAGTTGCTTTTAGAAATCTGTGAGAAACCAGCAAAGTGATGCAGCAGACTGGTTTCTGAGAGGGCCAGGGCCAACATAACGAAGTAGAAAAGGCACTCTTTCCATGTAAACTGTCTCTCAGAACTACTGGCTAAAGCCTGAGATTTGGTTTCAACTCTGCGTCTGTTCACACTGTGTATGAAGAACAAACCGATGCCACTTAGGTTAAGGCTCAGTAAGAATCCAAGTCCAGTCATGAAAAGCACCACACCGAGAGAGCTGGGAATAAAATAGGATATTACGGCTGTTCCAACAGAGATGATGAACATTGCTAACAACCTGCAGAGAGAAAAAAAAAAAAAGAGGAAGAAGAGATGCACTTAGAGTGAAAAATGTCCTTCAAGAATCAGTTACATATATCATCAATATTTTTTCTTAGAACGTACCACAGGCGGGATGACATGGATGAACCTCCAATGCCAAATTCTAACACTTGTTCCATCGCCCAGAGGAGAAATGCATCAGGTGGGGGCAGAGTTCCAAGTGCCCACAGGAAGGGTAAAAACACAAACAAGATGTGTAGGATCTGATTTATTTGTCCAAGAGCTGAAATATTTTCCATAAACCTAGGAGAAAACGAAAACACTTAAAATCATGCAAAATAGTATGTAGAAGAGATTCTTCTGCAAGAAGAACGAAACAGCACATACTCTGAAAGAACACTTACAAAACAGGTCCCAATTCAAACTCACAAACATCAACACACACTGTGACCTTGTGCCTTCTCCTGTAACAGCAACAGCCCTCGTCAGTTACTACTAAAGTAGCCTTTAGAAAATACGTGAATCCCAACATGTGCAGGAGCAGGAAGTCACGCAAAGCTTTACTGAACAGTAATAACTGAACACAGGGAGATCTGCAAAACGGAACGGAGGCCACAGCAAAGATATTCTCCCCTAAATACAGAAACTACAACACTGGTCGAAATTCTACCAACAGTTCCTTAGAATTCAAAATTCTGTAATTTAAAACTGCCATTACCTGTGGGAAATGCAAAGCCTTACTGACATTCATACATGAACAGCTGGCAAGGAGAGACATTTCTTTCTCCCTATTACTCAATCCTGCACTGTCCTGCTCTTGGATCCCAGAATTTGAAGTCAGAATAGTTAATATCAGAAGTTAGAAACTTAAGATTATATTTATATCTCTGTGGGTTATCCTGGTAATTTAACGAGTATTTATAATACTGTTCTATCTTGTATAACTAATGGTATGGGTGTGAGAACATGAACTTGAACAATATAATCTCTTTAGTCATAAACTAGAGACTACCTCTACCTTAAATGGAAAAAACTCAGTCACGTTTCCAGTTAAAAATAACATTGTTAGGGGCTGGCACTGTGGTGCAGCAGGTTAAAGCCCTGGCCTGAAGCACCGGCATCCCATATGGGTGCCAGTTCTAGTCCTGGCTACTCCTCTTCCAATCTAGCTCTCTGCTATGGCCTGGGAAAGCAGTGGAAGATGGCTGAAGTCCTTGGGCCCCTGTACCCACGTGGGAGACCTGGAAGAAGCTCCTGGCTCTTGGCTTCAGATTGGCGCAGCTCCAGCCACTGCAGCCATCTGGGGAGTGAACCAGCGGATGGAAGACCTCTCTCTCTGTCTCCACCTCTCTCTGTAACTCTATCTTCCAAATAAATTTTTTTAAAAATAAAAATAGCATCATTAAATTGGTTCTAATAATTTAACAAAATTTTAAAGCATAGAAGAAAAAACATTATCAATATGTTGCTAATTTTTTGGAATAATGGTACCCAAACACCATGTCTAGAGACCAGTAATATCAGAGTGTTTGTGGGGTTCCAAAAACAATTTTCAAAAGAGAAAACTAGATCAAAACTTACAATCTAATTCTACTTGAATACCTGAGCTGTGGAAAGCCAATAAGGAAAAAGACAACTTCTGCAATAATTACCTGCTGTGTATATTGACTGCCCTGGAGCAAATAATGGCTGTAATACTAGCATAACATGTTTACCTCACAGAGATACCAGGGCTATGTCAGCTACTACTCTTTGCTCATAACGTACATCCTTCAAATTACTATCAGCAGAGAATTAATGTACACAGGTTAACAATGTGATGCTAAACTAGAGAACAATACTTTCTATAGTATAATTTTAAAATAGAATTTCCATTCTAGGAAGAAAACACTCAAGTAACAGAACAGAATACCAAACCACACATAAAAAGCCACAGAAAGGCCAAGGAAAACAGGCAGATTTGTACAATTTTTTTAAAGGTTAACATTTTTCTTGCAAACATGCCTAAGGAAAGGATAATTCATGTAAAAATAAAGTATACTCAGGAAACATTTTACCAAAATCAGTGTCTACCTCTCAATCTTTTTGTTCTTTTTTTTTTTTTTTTTTTTATTTTTTTTTTTTTTTTAACTTTTATTTAATGAATATACGTTTCCAAAGTACGAATAATGGATTACTATGGCTTCCCCCCCATACCGTCCCTCCCACCCACAACCCTCCCATTTCCCACTCCCTCTCCCCTTCCATTCACATCAAGATTCATTTTCGATTATCTTAATATACAGAAGATCAGCTTAGTATACATTAAGTAAGAATTTCAACAGTTTGCTCCCACACAGAAACATAAAGTGAAAAATAATAGATGATTTTTTTTAATGATGATGAAATCAGATCAGACCTATTGTCATGTTTAATCCCAGTGAGAGTCAAGTTGGGAGTTGCTTTTCTTTTCTTTTCTTTTTTTTTTTTTTTTTTTTTTTTACAGAGGATCAGTTTAGTATGCATTAAGTAAAGATTTCAACAGTTTGCACCCCCATAGAAACACAAAGTGAAATATATTATTTGAGTACTCGTTATAGCATTAAATCTCAATGCACAGCACATTAAGGACAGAGATCCTACATGAGGAGTAAGTGCACAGTGACTCCTGTTGTTGACTTTACCAATTGACACTCCTGTTTATGGCATCAGTAATCTCCCTATGCACCAGTTATGAGTTTCCAAGGCTATGGAAGCCCCTTGAGTTCTCCGACTCTTATCTTGTTTAGACAAGGTCATAGTCAAAGTCGAGGTTCTCTCCTCCCTTCAGAGAAAGGCACCTCCCTCTTTGATGACCCATTCTTTCCACTGGGATCTCACTCACAGAGATCTTTTTGCCAGAGTGTCTTGGCTTTCCATGCCTGAAATACTCTCATGGGCTTTTCAGCCAGATCCGAGTGCCTTTAGGGCTGATTCTGAGGCCAGAGTGCTATTTAGGACATCCGCCATTCTATGAGTCTGCTGAGTATCTCACTTCCCATGTTGGATCACTCTCCCCTTTATTTATTCTATCGGTTGGTGTTAGCAGATACTAGACTTGTTTATGTGCTCCCTTTGACTCTTAGTCCTTTCATTATGATCAATTGTGAACTGAAATTGATCACTTGGAGTAGTGAGATGGCATTGGCACATGCCACCTTGATGGGATTGAATTGGAATCCCCTGGTATGTTTCCAACTCTACCAATTGGGGCAAGTTAGCCCGAGCATGCCCCAAATTATACATCTCTTCCCTCTCTTATTCCCACTCTTATGTTTAACAGGGATCACATTTCAGTTAATTTTCAACACTTAAGAATAACTGTGTGATAATTACAGAATTAAACCAGTCATATTAAGTAGAACAGACAAAAAAAAATACTATGAGGGATAATGTATTAAGTTGTCCATTAGCCGTCAGGGCTATGCTGATCAAGTCACCATTTCCCATAGTGTCCCTTTCACTTCAACAAGTTTCCTTTTTGGTGTTCAGTCAGTTGTCACCGATCAGGTCAATCTTTTTGTTCTTAAAAAATCGCCAATGGCATTGACAAGGATGTGTGTGACTGAAGTAACCAAACACTGTGATTGTGCTCCTACAGTGATTATTCTACTCTTCTGTTATATATGACTCAGCCCCATAGAGGATTACTGTGGCTAAGATTCTTCTTTACATACAATGTTTCTGATCATGGAAAAATAATTTTCTAGGCTAAAAAAATAATCAGTCCTTAAGAAAAAAACTTTGCTTTGAACCTAACATAAAAATATTTCAAATTCTGCACACAAAGACCCACATGCCAAGAAAACAGACTTTAGAGTGACTCAGATTATTTAAATGTCTAGTATCCTTTCAAATAATCCCTGACAATAAGCAAACACTTATGGATTCAGTGCTGTCTTTGAGAAAATTAAAATACACAGAAGTATCCTTTAAAAGGATTACTGCATACTATACTGGGTAGGATGAAGAATGGGGAAAAGATTTTACTACACTGGGTGCTCTTCAGCTTTCTTTTACATCCTCTGAAATAAAACTAGGAAAAGTTTGATATACATGAGAACTATCCACGTTGGAAGAATATAGACACTTCATACATCATTTGGCTGCATGATCACACCTACTGCATAAAGATCATATCAGTTCATTATTATTGTTAGTCACAAGGTAGAATTTACTAAAAAATGAATTTCAAGTTTTTTTTGGTGTAAATCTATTATTTTCTTCTTTAGAAACACATGTGGCCGGCGCCCAGCTCACTAGGCTAATCCTCCGCCTTGCGGCGCCAGCACACTGGGTTCTAGTCCCAGTCGGGGCGCCGGATTCTGTCCCGGTTGCCCCTCTTCCAGGCCAGCTCTCTGCTGTGGCCAGGGAGTGCAGTGGAGGATGGCCCAAGTGCTTGGGCCCCGCACCCCATGGGAGACCAGGAGAAGTACCTGGCTCCTGCCATCGATCAGCGCGGTGTGCCGGCCGCGGCGGCCATTGGAGGGTGAACCAACGGCAAAGGAAGACCTTTCTCTCTGTCTCTCTCTCTCACTGTCCACTCTGCCTGTCAAAAAAAAAAAAAAAAAAAGAAAAGAAACACATGTATGGGCTACTTTCACCATTTCCTTTAGTCATAATAAAAGACATTTATAATTATCAAACTTTAACCACTAAAACTGGATAGTAAGGGATGGTATTGTGGTGTAGTAGGTTAAGCTGCTACTTGTGACACCAGCATCCCATATCTGAGTGCTGGTTTGGGTCCCAGCTGCTCCACTGCCAATCCCACTCCCTGCTAATGTGCCTGGGAGAGCAGAAGACAGCCCAGGTACTGGAGCCCCAGCCTCTCACATGGAAGACCCAGAAAGAGTTCCAGGCTCCTGGATCTGGACTGGCTCAGCCCCAACTGTTGCAGCCATTTGTGGAGTCAAACAGCGGATGGAAGATCACTCTGTCTCTTCTGACTCTTTCAAACAAATAAATTTCTTAAAAATTAAAATAAAAACTAGCAGAGATTGCTTAAAAATTGAAGAACATGTGATATCATTTCAAATGCAAAGATGCATTGTAGCAAGTGTATAATTTCTGAGTTTGGAAATGGCACAGTGCAATAGTAACTCAAAAACCTGCACTCTGAAAATAATAATTTTATAAACTTAAATCTTTTAAAGATTTATTTATTTGGAAGTCAGAGTTACAAAGAGAGAGGGAGAGACAGAAAGAGTTCTTCCATCTGCTGATTCATTCCCCAGATGGCTCTAATGACTGGGAATGGGCCAGGCCAAAGCCAGGAGCCAGGAACAAGTCTCCAGTGGGTGGCAGGAGCACAATCATGTGGGCCATCTTCTGCTGCCCTCCCAGGCCTCCAGCAGGGAGCCAGAATGGAAGTAGAGCAGCGGGGACACAAGCCGGTGCCCATATGGGATGCTGGCATTGCAGGCAGCTGCTTTACCCACTACACCACAACAGCGCCCCCCCCCCGACTGAAATCTTTTAAAAAGAGATTATGTTCCTATAAATACGTATTTCAATTTTACTGCTGACCTTTCAAAATAAAGTACTAACTGTAATATCATCTCAGTAAAGTGTAATGGTATTATGAAACAAATTATAAAATGATTTCCTATTAATTCTCCCATTACATATTTGATTAGAACTATGTGAGTATTACAGTGTGCCCTGGTCTTTGAATGTAACATAATTAGAGGAGATTAAGAGTTAAGGAGCATAGGCCGGCGCTTTGGCATAGCTATAGGTAAAGCCACCACCTGCAGTGCTGGCGTCCCAATGGGTGCTGGTTAGAGACCCAGCTGCTCCACTTCTGATCGAGCTCCCTGCTGTGTCTGGGAAAGCAGTGGAAGATGGCCCAAGTGCTTGGGCCCCTGCACCCATGTGAGAGACCAGAGGAGACTCCTGGTTCCTGTCTTCAGATCAGCCCAGTTCCTGCCACTGCAGCCGTTTGGGGAGTAACCCAGCGGATGGAAGACTCACACACACTCTCTCTCTCTCTCTGTAATTCTGCCTTAAAAATAAATAAATAAATAAATAAGCATTAAGGAACAGCAAATAGATACTCAAGAGGTAATTTTATCAATACAAACTAAATGTTTTTAAATGCCTCATCTTGACTTGAGCTGCCATAACAAAATACCATAGACTGGAAGGCTTGAACAATAGAAATTTATTCTCTCACAGTTTGGCGGTTGGAAGTCCAAGATGAGGACGACAGCACGGTCAGGTTGTAGGGAAGGGCTCTACTCCTGGTTTGCAGATGGTTATCTTTTTTGCTACGTTCTTTAATGATGGAGATCAAGATCTCTGGTGTCTCTTCTCATAAGGAACAACCCCACCTTCACAACCAAATTACCTCCCAAAACACCTCATCTCCAAACACTAACATTACGCTGAAGTCTGAAGTCCAAGTCTCATCTGAACACCATCTAAATTAGACGTGAGTATGACTCGAGGTACAATGCTTCCTGAGGCCAAATTCCTGTGCAGGTTAACCTGTGAAAGCAGACAAGTTACGTGCTTCCAAAACACAATGGTGGGACAGGTACGGGAGAGATATTTCTACCCCAGAAGGGAGACACAGGGAAGAAGGAAGGGGTGACACGTCAAGAAGTCCAAAATTAGCAGGGTAGCTTCCACTAGATCTTCAGGTCTGGTTCCACTCTCTGCTCTCTAGGCTCCTAGGGTGGCAGAATCCCCTCCACAGCGCCAGGCAGGGGTTTTGCTCTGAAGAGCGGCTCTGCCCACAGGACTTCAGGTGGAGGGCATCTTGCCGTTGAAACGATGGCAGTGGCCCTGATGATCTCCGAATTAGCTTTGGTCTTTTCTTGGAGAACTGTGCGTATTTGTAGCGGAGTAATTCTGTTATCCTGTCTTGTCAAACTGCGGCAATCTGAGAGTGTTTACTCCATCCCACCTCCAACCCCTTCACTGCAAGCTGGCTGTGCTTCAGCTACAGAACCCCAGCGGCACTTCAGGGGATAATCATCCAGGCAACCCCGTGCTGCTCTCTTCAGAAGTGCTTTCTCGTGTTCTGCAGTGTCCGTAGGCTGAGGACTCTCCACACCTTCAAGGTCTGATCACTTGCTTACTCAACAATTCCTTCTTCAATTCATCTCTCTCCTGTTGCATTTACTATATGCAATCTGGGAAAACAAGTTACTCCTTCAACATGCTGCTTCAGCATTGACTTGCCTAACTATCCAATTTCATCACTAGCAAGTTCTGTCTTCCACAGAACACTGGAACACAGTTCAGTCAAGTTTCTTGCCACTTTCTAACAAGGACTGCCTTTCCTCCAGCTTCCAATAACAGGTTCCTCACGTCCATCTGAGACTTTAAGAGACTTACCTCAACGTTTGCGTTTCTAGCTTGCACGTTATAACTCAGCCTCTACCTATTACCTGGTTAACCTGGTTAATGGAAGCCATTTCCACGCCCTTAGGTAGTCACAGCAGAACTGCCCACATTTTTGGTGCCAAGCTTGGACACCCATAACAAAATAACATGGACTAGATGCCTAACAACAGAAATTTATTTTCTCACAGTTCTGGAAGGCCCCACCTTCAGGGCCTGATTTCCTCCCAGAGGCCACATCTCCCAATTCCATCACACTGCAGTGTAGGGCTTCTGTATATGCATTTTGGGGACACAACATTTAGTTCACAATATTCCTATACATTTCTACCTGGACACTAACCTGAGAAAGAGAAAGCTGCAATCTATAGAAATAGAGAAAGAAAAGTCAGATTTAGAAAAGGCAAACAAAAGGAATTATCAAACATTTTTGTCACCAAATATGTTTGTTAATAAAACTTATTTTCTATTTTTAGGTTTACAAGTTGGCTTAAAAATATGTCTTTCTGTATATCGTGATTATAATAAAATTAGATATAAGCTTTCTACTCATCTTAAATCTACTCGATCTGCACATAATATTTATGTTTAAATTCTAAATTCCTCATCTCTTCTTACAGAAATTTCTTCTCACTTTTCTTTTTTTTCTTTTATTTATTTATTTATTTTGACAGGCAGAGTGGACAGTGAGAGAGACAGACAGAGAGAAAGGTCTTCCTTTGCCGTTGGTTCACCCTCCAATGGCCGACGTGGCCGGCGCACGGCACTGATCCGAAGCCAAGAGCCAGGTGCTTCTCCTGGTCTCCCACGGGGTGCAGGGCCCAAGCACCTGGGCCATCCTCCACTGCACTCCCTGGCCATAGCAGAGAGCTGGCCTGGAGGAGGGGCAACCGGGACAGAATCTGGTGCCCCGACTGGGACTAGAACCCGGTGTGCTGGCGCCGCAAGGCGGAGGATTAGCCTAGTGAGCCGCGGCGCCGGGCTCCTCTCACTTTTCACAGGTTTCAGTCAGACTATCTTAAAGATTCAAAGCTTCTTATTTAAAGTGAAACACAGAACTGACAATTGCTTATCTTAAAGAGGATTTTTTTGTTTACTATTCAGTAAAGTTTAACTTTAAATGTTTTATAGAAATTCACTTTCAGAGATCAGTCATTCTATGGTTTTCTCCTGATGATTTTTAATCCAGATTCATGTTTTTAATACTAAGGAGAGCTCTCTTATCGTGTATAGCTAAAAACAATGCAAACTGTAAAGTATCTGGTAGGCTTTTACCTGTGTGCAAGATCCACGGAAACAAAGAACAAAATGTAAAGAGGTCTCGTCAGCGGAGTGATTTCGTAAGTATCCTGAGTTTGGAAAGTCGCAGTCTCTGTGGCCGTGTTTACAATTAATGAATACTCTCCTATACATAATGTCAGCCATCCAAAGACAAATAATAGAACAGTGCCTCCTGTGCTGCCATACAGCGAGGTTATTCTATCCGGGAGCAGATACCACGTTCCAAGACCACACACTAACCCAGCAAGCACAGAGTGAAGCACTGTGTTGGCTATGTATTTTTTGCCTGGAATCAGAAATCTGACAGTCTCGGCACCAGCACAGCTTGTGAATTCATACTCATCTTCCTCTGCGATGATCCCTGTGGCTCGCATTCTCTCCACGGTCACGGCCTTGTTCCTGGCGTACAAACTCGTGAGCTGGATGATGAACGCGGTGAGCAGCATCAGCCCGCCTGAAAGTGCTGCTGCATAGTAGTCCTTCAGGACGCCCAGCTGGTACACCAGTGTCCCGATCCCACCCAAGACCCATGGCATCAGAAAAAGGATAATCTGATTGACGTATATGTACGGAGGTGCGCAGTAGCCTAAGTTGAGTCGCGCGCCTCCGAGGACGGTCTGCGGGAAGCGCTTCAGGAAGAAGTCCTGCTTGTAGTCGTTGAGCAGAGGCGCATCGGGACTCATGCTGCCCTCCGCCGCTCACTCGCAAGGTCGCATCCTCTTCTGTAACGCGGCGGGTGCTGCAAGAGAGAGAGTCACCGGGTGAGACTGTCCTTCCCAAGGCCCCGGGAGAAAACCTGCCGGTCCGCTACCACCTTAGTTCTCTCAAGGGCAGGATGTGTAACTTCACTTCTCAGGCTCCTCCCACTGCTGACACATTGTGCTCTAAGTTGCTTTAAGCAAAATATACATTAGTTTTTTTAAAAAACCGTTACTCTTTATTAATGTATTTATAACTTAACATCTGGTGTTAAATATTAACTCACAGTTTTAGATTCTGAGGTTAAGGAAAATTCAAAAGGCCAGTACTTTTAACTCAATCCTGCAGCGGTTTAACTGGTCATTCCCCAGTAAGTTTTATTGTTTTGTTCTTTAATTTTTCCCTCTCATGAGAGTCAGCAAACTTTTTCTATAAAGGCCAAAATAGTAAATATTTTAAATTTCATGAACCATACAGTTTCTGTTGAAATACCACAAAATCAGCCATAGACAATACAATAAATAAATGGATTTTTTTAAAAAAGATTTTATTTATTTATTTGAGAGGTAGAGTTACAGACAGTGAGAGGGAGAGACTGAGAGAAAGGTCTTCCGTCAGCTGGTTCACTCCCCAAATGGCCGCAATGGCTGGAGCTGCACCAAGTCTCCCACATGGGTGCAGGGGCCCAAGGACTTGGGCCATCTTCTACTGCTTTCCCAGGCCATAGCAGAGAGCTGGACTGGAAGAGGAGCAGCTGGGTCTAGAACCGGCGCCCATATGGGACGCCAGCGTCTCAGGTGGTGGCTTTACTTGTTACACCACAACACTGGCCCTAAATAAAAGGATACTGAGTAGGTGTGTTAAATCAAAATTTCACTGTACATATCCACCCAAATAGACTGTGGGCCAGGCTCTGCCTGACAGTCACAGTTTGCCAACCCCCACTGTATAAAATAAGAATATTCTCTATAATCCCAAAATTCAATTGGAAATAGAAGTGGAAAAGAGAAATATTAAGAGTGTCATTCATAGCCGGCGCCGCGGCTCACTAGGCTAATCCTCCGCCTAGCGGCGCCGGCACACCGGGTTCTAGTCCTGGTTGGGGCGCCGGATTCTGTCCCGGTTGCCCCTCTTCCAGGCCAGCTCTCTGCTGTGGCCAGGGAGTGCAGTGGAGGATGGCCCAGGTGCTTGGGCCCTGCACCCCATGGGAGACCAGGAAAAGCACCTGGCTCCTGGCTCCTGCCATTGGATCAGCGCGGTGCGCCGGCCGCAGCGCGCCGGCCGCGACGGCCATTGGAGGGTGAACCAACGGCAAAGGAAGACCTTTCTCTCTGTCTCTCTCACTGTCCACTCTGCCTGTCAAAAAAAAAAAAAAAAAGTGTCATTCAAACCACTTGATAATTATGGTAAATATAACATTTTCCATCAATTTAAAAAGTCAATCCTATTCAAATAAGTAGCATTTCAATAAAAGTTCACACGGACACTGGCAGCTCAACATGTATTTAGAAAAACAATGAACAGGAACTTAAGACTAAGTTAAATGCCGAAGTTGATGACTCTTATTATTAGATATGTTACCATGGGCAAGTCACCTAGTAATTTACCTTTTAGTCCCTGTTATCAGTTTCCAGAATCACCAGAACTGGGGAAACAGGAAATAATAAGGGAAACTGTACAGGCTTCGGTCTAAATTATTTTCATGTCAGGGCCACAATAATGTAAGTATCAAATAACATGGCTCTTGTCAGCCCAACTCTTCCTTATACTCAGCAGCTTATTCTGAAAAACAGCTGTTGACACAACATGAGCTAGAAAAATTACCTCAGCGAACTGCTTGTTTGCTAGAAGAGAAAAGCGAAGTTTAAGCCATCTCCAAATAGTCTTTCGGTCAGGTCTCAGCCTGCAGAGAGCAGTGGGCATCCTGGAAGGTTCTGGGGTCACTGTGTAGAAGCAGCACAGGTACTTGGCCTAGCAGTCAGGACGCCTGCATCTGGTCTCAGAGGGGCCTGAGTCCCAGCTCTGGCTCCCGATTCCAGCTTTCTGCTAATGCAGAGCCTGGGAGGCAACAGGGCTTGTTCAAAGTAGCTGGGATCCTGCCACCCATGCAGACTTACTGGATCCCAGCCCTGGTGAAGGCATTTGGAGAGTAAACCAGTGGATGGAGAGGGAGAAGGAGAGAGAGGAGGAGAGAGAGAACTAGACCTTGGCGCCACCTCCCCTCATTGTTAAACTGTTAGGAAGTTCTTTAACTGTAAATATTTCTCTTCTGTGCACAGCTCTTCCTTACATGAAAGCCCTACAAGAACCCAGGCAACATTCTAAAGTTATAAATGTTTATTCCCTGTTTTAACACACTTGGAAAATACCTTCGTTTATGTTTATTATGGAATAAGCAATGTTACTTATTGATAGCACTGTTGGCTTAGGGAAGATTCTGCCTAAAGCAATTGTATCCCAAAGACACACAGGAACAGGATAAACGTGAGGGAGAAATACAGCTGGGTTTCTCCTGTGGAGATGGAAATGGCTAAAGAATCATTTTTTTACACAAACAAGTATGCCTTTTAAAATTTATGTATGTATGTATGTATATATTTTTTGACAGGCAGAGTGGACAGTGAGAGAGAGAGAGAGAGACAGGGAGAAAGGTCTTCCTTTGCCATTGGTTCACCCCCCCAAATGGCCGCTGCGGCCGGCGCACTGTGCTGAGCCGAAGCCAGGAACCAGGTGCCTCCTCCTGGTCTCCCATGCAGGTGCAGGGCCCAAGCACTTGGGCCATCCTTCACTGTTTTCCCGGGCCACAGCAGAGAGCTGGACTGGAAGAGGAGCAACCGGGACAGAATCCGGCACCCCGACCGGGACTAGAACCCAGCGTGCCGGCACCACAGGCGGAGGATTAGCCTATTGAGCCGCAGTGCCGGCCTGTATGTATGTATTTTTAGAGACAGAGAGCTCCCACCTGCTCATTCACTCCCTAAAAGTCTGTAAGAATGTGGAGTGGACCAGGCCAAAGTTAGGAGCCTTGAACTCAACTGGAGAACTCTGATGTGGGTGACAGGGACTGAACTACTTTCGTCATCTCCTGCTGCCTTCCTGGGTACACAAGTGTCATCAGGAGCTGGAAACGCAGCACAGCTGGGATGTGGGCATCTCACGTGCCATCTCAACCATTAGGCCAAACGCCTGCCTCTGGAGAATTTTAGTTGTCAGAAGTCCAATTTTGGCCGGCGCCACGGCTCACTTGGCTAACCCTTCACCTGCGGTGCCGGCACCCCGGGTTCTAGTCCCAGTTGGGGTGCCAGATTCTGTCCCAGTTACTCCTCTTCCAGGCCAGCTCTCTGCTGTGGCCCGGGAGGGCAGTGGAGGATGGCGCGGTGCAGGCCGTAGCAGCCATTTGGGGTTGAACCAACGGCAAAGGAAGACCTTTCTCACTGTCTCTCTCTCTCACTGTCCACTCTGCCTGTCCAAAAAAAAAAAAAAAAAAAAAGTCCAATTTTAATTTGCTTCCTGCCCTATACTACATTTAAAAATGTTTTCTTTTCTTTTTATTTGAGCGGCAGAGAGAGAGAGTTCCCATGTGCTGGTTCACCTCCCAAGTGTCTGCAATGGCTGAGGCTGAGCTGAGGCTGAAGCCAGGGGCTGGAAACTGAATCCAGGGGTCGCATGTGTGTGGCAGGAAGCTATTTACTTGAGCCATCACCACTTCCTCCCAGGGTCTGCATCAGCGGGAAGCTGGAGTCTGGACCGGAGCCAGGCATCAAACCTAGGCATTACAAGATGTAAGATGCAGGTACCTTAACCACTAGGTCAAACATCACCCCCAATCCTACACTCTGATCTCCTGCATCATCAGGAAAGGAGGGTCTAGTTCACAGTGAAGAAGGGCAGAGGTAGAAAAGCAGGGATAAAAGGCAAAAAAAAAAAAAAAAGGGCAGGAACAACTGAGTGAGAGCAGGCCAAGCACGAAGAGAACATAAGTTTCCTTAAGAATCATCAGAGCCTGGCAGTGCCGCTCAGCAGGTTAAGCCACAGCCTGCAGTGAGAATCCCATATGGGCGCCAGTTCATGTCCTGGCTGCTCCACTTCTCATCCAGCTCTCTGCTAACGTGCCTGGGAAAGCAGCGGAAGATGGCCCAAGGAGACCTGGAAGAAGCTCCTAGCTCCTGGCTTCAGCTTGGCACAGCCCTGGCCATTCAGTCATTTGGGTAGAGAACCACTGAGTGGAAGATTTCTCTCTCTCTCTCCTTTTCTCTCTCTGTAACTCTTTCAAATAAATAATGAATTAACACACAAACAAAAACATCCTCAGAAACATGAGAGAGGTAAGTGGGATGGTGACTTTGAGTTATTTTAATGGGATATATGTTTTTAAAAAGTTTGAAGGATTCAGGATTTGTCCTATAGAATATTTCTTGAAAAGGAATCTATGGCTAAAGAAGTTTGAGAATTAGTCTTTTTTTTGTTAAGACTTCTTTTATGTATTTGAAAGACAGAGTTACAGAGAGGAGGTCTTCCATCCACTGGTTCACTCCCCAGATGGCTGCAACGGCTGGAACTGTGCCGATCCGAAGGCAGGAGCCAGGAGCTTCATCCAGGTCTCCCACACAGGTGCAGGGGCCCAATGACTTGGGCCATCTTCTACTGCCTTTCCAGGCCATAGCAGAGAGCTAGATCAGAAGAGGAGCAGCCAGGACTCGAACTGGCGCCCAAATGGGATGCCGGTGCTTCAGGCCAGGGCTTTAACCCGTTGGGCTACCGTGTCAGCCCCAAGAGAATTAGTCATCTTAAAAGAGTCAGACTAGAAATCAGCAAATTAAGACTTTGAACATCCTTAAAATTAACAAAACAGGGGAGCCCAGTGCTGTGGCATAGCGGATAAGGCCACTGCCTGCAGTGCTGGCATCCTTTATGGGCTCCGGTTCGAGTCCCAGCTGCTCCACTTCTGATCCAGCTCTCTGAATGTTTTTTGAGGAACTTCCAAATTGTTCTCCATAGTGGCCGCACCATTTTGTATTCCCATGGTACGAGTCAGGGTTCTAATTCCTCCACATCCTCATCAATCCTTGTCCTCTTGTTTGATAACAGCTGTTGGAACAAGTGTGAGGTAATGCTGGGTCACACACGGCTGAGCATTTCTGTACTGCGGCTCTTGCTCTTTCACTACTTGCTATCTTCTAATGCATCCATTCCAATTTATCATAGCGCACATTTTAACTTCTAAGAGCTGCTGAATCTCTGAATATTACTTTTTAATAGAATCTTTCATGAATCTTGTCTATTTTTCTGCGAATATTCATTACATGCATACGTTTGTATTGTGTAAATAAACGCTATTTTATCTTTGTGTGGACTGTCTCTTCATGTTGCTTTTTTACTATCAGACTGTTCATTTTCTATTAGTATAGAAGAACTTCATCGGTAGACGAAGCATCTCTCTGGGGCTGGCATTGTGCCGTAGTACATATAGCATTGCCTGCAATGCCGGCACACCACATGGGCACGTTCATGTTCTGCCTGCTCCACTTCCAATCCAGCTCCCTGCTGATGTGCCTGGGAAGGCAGCGGAAGATGGCCCAAGCGCTCGGGCCCCCACACTCATGTGCAGGACTTGGAAGAAGCTCCAGGCTTCAGCCCGGCTCAGCCTGACTACTGTGCAGCCATTGCGGAGTGAACCAGCAGATGGAAGAACTCTCTCTCTCTCTGCCTTACAAATGAGTAAAAAAAGGAGAAGGGGGAGGGGGAGGGGGAGGAGGAGAAGAGGAGGGAGGGGAGGGGAAGGGGAAGGAGGAAGACAGACAACAAGCACTGGCGAGCTCATGAAAAATTAAAACCCTCCATCACATCTAATATGAATATAAAATGGTGCAGTCCCTTTGGTAAACAGCCACAATTCCTCAAGAGACTAAACACGGGTACTACACTGATATGGGCAGGTGGGCTGCTAGCAGAGGAACTGAGGTTTGACAGCACTGCACTGCCGCAGGCCAGCCCTCCCAACAGCACAGCAGCCTTGCCTGGTCCACGTCATAGCCCCACCTGCACCACCCAAGCCCCCTTTCTGTGCACTTCCCAAACCTGCCTTCCATGCACCAGTCCCAGCCCTCTCCCCCTTCCCTGCAGTGCAAACCCCAAGTTTCACAATGTTGCAAATTTAAGAATGGGGGGAGGTGCCATGATGCAGAGGGTTAAAGCCCTGGCCTGAAGTGCCTGCATCCCATATAGGCGCGCATCCTAGTCCCTGCTGCTCCTCTTCCAATCCAGCTCTCTGGTGTGGCCTGGGAAAGCAGTAGAAGATGGCCCAAGTCCTTGGGCCCCTGCACCCACGTGGGAGACCCAGATGAAGCTCCTGGCTTTGGATAGGCACATCTCTGGCCGTTGCAGCCATTTGGGGAGTGAACCAGCAGATGGAAGACCTCTCTCTATCTCTACCTCTCACTGTCTGTAACTCTACCACTCAAATAAATAAAATATTAAAAGAAATTAGCATCAGCTATAACAATCCAAAATGGCTGCAGACAGTGACTCTCCCATGACATTTATATCATTAAATTATTATAATAATAAAATTACTAGGGTCAGTTTTTTTACTCTCACCGTGCCCCTAACACCATGACACTTCTGAGATTTCCAAAACAGGGCACAGAAATGGGCAGTACTCAGGTGCTGCACCAAACTCTGCTCCCTTTGAATGATCAATCAAGCCGCAGCCAGACACCACCCCCTATGCCTCGCAATACCATAACAAGATAGCCCGCACCTTTCCCTTTTCTTTAAGTAAATCCTGCTTTCCTGTACACCTCGTTTCCTCCTCGACTTCTTTCATGCATGGAGACAAGAACCCGGACCGAGCCTAGCCAAGGACCACCCCCATGACAATATAACCCAGCAATTCTACTCCTAGGTAAGCACACAGGTTAATGAAACCATGTTCACACAAAAACTTGGCACATAAACATTCACAGCAGAAATATTGCCTGCCCAAATTAGAAACAATGCAACTGTTCATCAACAGCTGAATGGATAAAATGTGAGGCATCACCTAATGGAGTGTGATTAGGCGGTCAGTGATGAAGCAGACAGGCTGCGGCATGCATGAACCCCCAAACACTATGGCTACCTGTTACACGCCAGTCTCAAGGGGTCGCATTCTGCAAGATGCACAGGAAACACCTCTACAGAGACAGAAAATACACTGCTGGTTGCTGGGGGCGTGGGGGGTGGGTCTCCATTTCCAGGGCCAACTGTCAACTCCAGTGGAGATCATGGGAACTGCTTGGGGTGGGGGGCGTTGAGGGCTTGAAAGGTGTGCGGTTTCTTTTAGGGGCAACAACACAACGTTTCTAAAACCGATTGCTTTCGGCTGCACAATTCTGTGACTATTCTAAAGACCAGTGCCATATACACTTCCAGTGGGTAAATCTCACGGAATGTGAATTATATCTCAATAAAGCTCTCGGGAAAAGGTTCCCTTACCTGGCATCTTCTGCAGCAATGAATGATGACTAGGCAGCGCCTTAACTAGAAAATACAGGGGCCGCCAACAGGTGTCCCAAGCAGTCAGAGGACTCAAACAGCAACATCCGACCCGAAGGCTGGGACAGAGTTTGGGGATCCGGCTTGGGGGGCGGTGGCTATTTAAGCGCAAGGCGGCCCTGGCCTCACTGAAGGAAATTTGCCCAGTTCCTGGGGGGAGCGGGTGGTCGCGCGGCCAAGCCTCCGTCAAGGCTCCATTTCGCAGGGGCCACAGGAACAAACGCTACAGCTCAACAGGCTAAGCAGCCGCGCAGTCCTCACACCTAAAGGTTCCACACCACACGAAAACAGCTCCGAGACCATCGCGGCCGCCCACAGGCCAGGAAACCCAGCCGGCGCGCGACCAACTCACCCGGGCCCCCGGCCTGCGTCTCCATGGCTAACGTCAACGCCGGCCGGCGCCGCTCGCGGCGCGGCGTCACGCACGCGCCCGCCTAGGGCCCCGCCCACACCTGCGCGCGCTCCCGACGGGGCTTCACGCCGGCCGGGCGAGGCAGGGCAGGCGGGGTGCAGCGCCCCACCCGGCCCCGCTCCGCTGTAAGAGTCTCGCGGGTCCTTCGACCGCGTCTTGGGTGTGGGCGCGAAACCACGGCCGGACCTTTCACCCGGACACGCCCCTACGCCAGAGCGTCGTTGCCATGGTGATGTGACGTAGTGACGTAGTTCCGTAAGGCGCGCCGCCGCCATTTTGCCAGCCCCGGAAGTGTGGGTGCCCCGCGACCCGCTATCTTGATGTCTGCGCTCTGGCGGCCACGGCCTGTCACCGCGTTTCAAATGAATGCTGCATTCGTCCTATTCGGTTGGAAGATGTGCGACTGTGTACAACCTCGCTTTATTGCGCTCCACTTTGTGTC